ATGAAAATCATTTTGTTCACTAATTATAAAACAACAAGGATCTCAAGACCTTCATGAAAATAATAGGCATTTCTGGAAAGAAGGAAAAAAAGACAAAGATATGACTAAACAACCACTGTGAGAAAAAAATGTCCCGAAAGTTTAAAATAAGGAACTGAAATCTTCAGTTTGAAAAGACTCATTCAGTCCCAAACAATGTTAATGAAAACACTCACAGAATTAGGCACATCCTAGTGGAATTCCTGAATTCCAATATTAAAATGAATGACAAGATTCTAGAGAAATTTTTTTAAGCTACTTGCAAAGTAATGAGAGTCAGACTAGCATGGAACTATTTAACCACAACCCTAGAAGCCAGCAGACAGTGAATGAATACGCACAGACAATTTAAAGAGGACATATCAGGAATCTTCTTCCCAGGGGAGATATTAGTTATTCATCAGAGTAAAAGAAAAACATCTTTACCCATGCTGGAATTCAGAGACTTCAAGGTATCTGAAGAAAATAATAGAAGTCTTCCGATCATTGGATAAGAACAGGGGTGACAAGACAGGAGCAGATGGCAAGAATGATGCTGCCATTGAAAAGAGGTGATGTGAGTATAAGGAGAGAATCCTTCAGTCAGAAGAGAAATACTCTTAGAGGAAACTTAGCAATTGATCTGCAACTACAAGTTTTCATTTATTTCAACAAAACCCACATATGGGGTGTGCATGCTAAATCACTTCAGTCATGTCTGACTCTTTGCGACCCTGTGGACTGTAGCCCTCCTGGCTCCTCTGTCCATGAGATTCTCCAGGCAAGAATACTGGAGTGGGTTGCCATGTCCTCCTCCAGGGAAATCTTCCTGGCCCAGGGATCGAACTTAAGTCTCCTGTGTCTCCTACACTTTCAGGCGGATTCTTTACCAGGAAGGCCACCTGGAAAGCCCCACCAGAAAGCAGAAGAGTGAAAAGAGAACATCGTGAAGTTCTCATGTCACTGCAGGGGGTGGGGGATAAAAACATCAAGCAAGCCTATTGTCATTATTGATTTTATTAAGATTTCATCATTTTATTATTAAATTATGATTTACTATTTACAATAATAAATAGATATTCAGTTAAGATGCTCTGGATACGACAATGACTTAGTCAATCAAGAAGTGTAGCAGACCTTTCAAATTACAGAGGGAAGACTTCCTCTGTAGTCTGTAAAAGAAATTTCCTCATTTCAACAAAAAGAAAAGAAAAGACCACAACCAAGGAAAGTCAACATAAACATAATGTTGAAGGAGTAAAATCAATATAGGGCTTCCTTGGTGGCTCAGCAGTAAAGAATCTGCCTGCAATGCAGGGGACACAGTAGACTCAGGTTTGATCCCTGGGTTGGGACGATCCCCTGGAGAAGGAAATGGCAACCCACTCCAGTATCTTGCCTGGAAAATCCCTTGGACTGAGGAGCCTGGTGGGCTACAGTCCATGGGGTCGGGGAGAGTTGGACACAACTGAACAACTGAGCAGACACACACTAAATCAACATAGAGTTATGGTACTAAGTGAGAAATGGCCTGAATTCAAGTACTGAAAGAAAAATGGACAATTTGGATTTTCTAAATGTAGCACAAACGCTGGAAGGAGGAGGCTCAAATGTTGGCTCAGCTCCTCCCCAGAGGAGTCCTCCCCCTGAACACGGGGGAGGAGCAGATGCTGGAGACGCCAAAGAGGTGTTTTTTTTTTCCTCAGGTGATGGAGTTCAGGAACCACTGCTTTAATGCCTGGGTGACAAAATCAAGGCTCAAAATGGGCATGATGGTTCCCCTTCCAGCTTCCACCCTGAACACACCATGAGACATGCACATTTATTAAACACCACCTGATCTCAGCCATTCACACTTCACTGCTTTCAAAGCCGTCTGTCCAAAACTAGAATTCATCATATCACTACGTCGTATCTCCATTGGCCATAAGTTCTGGAAAGAATGTCTTCTAAATGTAGACAGAAGGTCCCACTTTTCCCAAATCCTTCTACAACAAAGAACCTCCTATTGTTCCATAATCATTCAAAGAAGATTATTTTGTTAAATTTTACATTGAGATCAATAGAAGACTAAGAATCACCAAGATTTCTTTTCCTCTTAACTCACCAACCAAATAATAAAACTGGTAATTTCTCTCGTTTGAGATTCATGTTATTTCTCTGCTACTTCAACATGGTACAGAAAGATAGTGGATATTGGAATCAGATGTATTGGAATTCTAATCTTGGTTCGGCACTAAAGACTAGGTAACCAAACACTTAGGCTTTCCTGGTCTGAGATTCTTCAAATGTTAACTAAGAATGCCTACCTCTCCATGGGATGAGGAAGCCTACGTAGTTGGGAGGATTACAAATATACCAAAGGAAAGGAGCTGCAAGAACTTAGCTGACTTCAGTTTTGGTCTTTACTTTGCATTTAGAGTCTTTAAAACCGTAGTTGCTGAATAAATGGATTGTGATGATACTTTGAATATGATGACCTAAATGGGAAGGAAATCCAGAAAAGAGAGAGGATACATGCACACATGTAGCTGATTCTCTTTGCTGTACCGCGGAGACTCACACAACATTGTAAAGCAGCTGTACTCCAATAAGAATTCACTGTAAGAAAGGCATAGCAATTTTGCCTTAAATTAGGAGCATAGATGCTCAAGTTCATTTAATAAGGAATGCCTTACCAATGATGAATCCCTGAACCACCTGAATCAATTATATAAATTAAAGGAGCAAAATACGGCTAGAAAAAAATTGTTAAGCAGTTTACTAATCTCCATCTAGCCATTCATGCTCCAATTTTGCCACCAGTCAAATAGGAAAACAGCTTGTCACGTGGCATGGTTTTCTGTGTGATAAGGGGGAATGTTGATTTTATTCCATCAGAATCTTAAGATATATATCATTCCAGATGTACAATGTATTAATCAGCTTAGTCTGACAACTGGGAATAATTCCACCTAGGCTGGATCAATCCTTCCACAGTGGTAACACCGTTGTTAATTTGAATCTCCTGAGGACAATATCACCACCACACATGCCCAGTTGGGTTTGGCATATTGGGACACTTTCTAACACTACAAACAACCCCTTCAATGACTTGAACCAATGTTCTTGGGAGAAAATCCACAATCCTTCATGTGGCACCTAAGTTCTGAATAGTCTAGCCTCTGCTTTCCCTTCCAGCCTCATCTTGCACCATCGCCAACTCTTTCCCTCTCTGTCCTCAGGCACATCCACCTTCCATTCCAGCTTCCTGACTCACTTCATTCCTTCCTGACACAGGGCCTTTGCACTTAACTCTTCTCATGATATGAAATGTCCTTACCCATTGTCTCACCATTCTCCTTATTCACCCTTATTTGTCCTGCAAATCTCAGCTCAAGGACCACTTAAAAGACTTGGATGAACCCCATCCCCCACCTGCACCTCCATATCCACCCAGTCTACACAAGTATTTTTGTTACACCCCCTGATAGAACTGACTTCTGTCTGTAATTGTCATTTCATTCACAAAATTATCTGATTAATGCCTCTCTCCAGACTTTCAGTTAGCTTCATAAGAGCAGGAACTAACCTGGTTTTGCTCTTCATTATACACACAGAGGCCAGCACAGTACCGCCTACATGACAAGTTCTTGGTGCTGAATGAGTGAATGAATGGATGAGTGAATGAATGGATGAATATCGATCTCAGTGCTATTCCCTTGTTGCTTGTGCAGCTAAAGGCTTTCACGGGTGTAGAAAAGGCATAGTGGCCCCAAACTACCCTTGAAAGTGAAAGTGAAAGCGAAGTTGCTCAGTTGTGTCCAACTCTTTGCAATCCCGTGGACTGTAGCCTACCAGGCTCCTCTGTCCATGGGATTCTCCAGGCAAGAATACTAGAGTGGGTTGCCATTTCCTTCTCCAGGGGATCTTCCCAATCCAGGGATCGAACCTGAGTCTCCTGCATTGCGGGCAGATGCTTTAACCTCTGAGCCACCAGGGAAGCCCCAAACTACCCTTGGGACCTATAAATAATTCCTCATTCCTCATTCCTCTTACGAGCTTTGGAGCCACCTTGAGCCACCACAAGCTCAAATATTTGATCAATACACTTTTTTTTCCTTTGAAGATAAAAATCAAGTCTGCTATTGGTACCACAGCAAAACTTATCTCTAAATAAGAGTATACCATCCAAAGTTGTGCCTACACATTTAGTGTTAGCAAAACTTCCCAAAATAATGTGATTTCACTTTGTTTTCTCCCAACCTCTGGAACATGGCCCAGACTTAAAGATAAAACAAAAATAATTGAAAACATACCCAGTAAGAAGTAGAAGAAACACATATTAATTTCATTGTCGATAGCATTATTTAAAATATTCAAATACAGTCTGATATATACCATGTAAGAGAAAGAATTGAGGACTTCAGAATGACTTTTTTTAGTGTCTTCAGAGGCTTAGGACTGTTTTGCATTGTCCACTGATCCTTGGCCTTTCACAAGGACCTTGACATTAGTGCTATAAAAAACCTTGTGGCAGTCAGGGCATTTCTGACAAAAGACCACCCAGATAAGATTAAAATAAAACTCCTTCTTTCCAAAGCCCTTCCGTTCTATCTTCTCCCAGCCCAAATGCCAGGCCTACTTAATTTTCATTCTGTTGACACAAGTCATTTTGCCTTTCATCTTTCTCTGAGAACAGTAAGCCACTCTTCTATTTTATCCACTAAAAGTTAACTTCAAGCAGGTAATTTAAAATTTTAATGATCTGATGAGACATTTTTCATCTTAAAACAGTGACATAAATGCCGTTAGCCATGGACTTGGGCTCTTCTGTAGTTGTTCTTACTTTCTAAAAAACAAACAAAAACTTTCTATTTGGTTCTTACTTTCTAAAGAACAAACAAAAACTTTCTATTTGGTGCCTAACTTTTCCACCTTTTATTTTTCTTAATGTTCACTTGAATTATAACTTAATAATGCATATTCAATAAATCACTTACCTGTTAGCATTTCAACTTGGATGCAGAAGAGAAAGAAATACCAGAGGTCTGACTTCATGTTTGCCAGAAGCAAATGCAATTTTCTCCTTCAGTGTTTAAGGCTGACAGTGAATTCACGTCCTTAACTGTTTTCTATTTGTTGGAAAGGAAGTGGGTTTGGTGGGGGTTGATGTTGTGTCACACTTACCATCAAGGCAAGGAGGTGTCTCTGAAGTGATGTCAATGTCAGTGGCATTATTGCTCATGGAGGTTAAGTTTAATTCATGGATTACTATAATTTGTTATATTTATTTATTTGGCTGCACAGGATCTTAGTTGCAGCACATGGGATCTAGTTTCCTGACCAGGGATTGAACGTGGGCACCTCCTATATTGGCAGCATAGCCTCTTAGCCACTGGACCACCAGAGAAGCCCCTTACTCCATGGATTATTGATGATTTTGAAAACAAGGGAAAACTTTGCCCTTATTTCAATTCCAAGAAAACAAATGAAAGAGACAATGCCTGCTCTTTTCAGAACCACCCTATTCCCTCTGAATCAATAGTTGTTGGGTATAGCATGATCTAAAATTAACCATATGATCCATAGCATGTATTTTGATGCATTTCTATCTTATGCTATTTCATGCAATTCTCCAGGCAAGATTACTGGAGTGGGTTACTCTTCTCCAGGGGATCTTCCCAACCCAGGGATCAAACTCGCAGCTGTTATGTCTCCTGCTTTGGCAGGTGGGTCTTTCTTACTCGTGCCACCTGGGAAGCCCCAGCAGAGTCTGTAGAGACAAGGGATTCTGAATCTATGGCCTCAGATGAAAGCAAGAAAGCTGAAGAGCCTACCCATAGTGTCTCTCTATCCATGCAAGGAGACAGAGTAGACAACAACAACAACAGTAATAATAATATAAAGAACTATGTTTATATGCATATAACTGTTTATATGAAATGTGCCACGTGCTCTGTTATGTCCAGCTCTTTGCGACCCAAGAACTGTAGCCTGCCAGGCTCCTCTGTCCGTGGGGTTTCCCAGGCAAGAATTCTGTACTGGATTGCCTTTACCTTCTCCAGGCGCCTTCCCAACCCAGGGATCAAACCTGCATCTCTCCCGTCTCCTGCATTGTAGGTAGACTCTTTACCTGCTGAGTCATCCAGGAAGCCTCTTTGTATGAAACAATGCATGTTAATGCAAAACATATAAAATTAAATGTAAAATGATATATATTTAATATGCATAAAATATGTAAATAAAGCTAATATTATATTTTTTCACATTTATTTATGTGGATTATTTGCTATATATTTATATAATGTTTTCAGTTCAGTTCATATTAATTCACTTAATCCTCTTAACCATCCTATTAGATGGGGGCTACTAATCCTCGCATTGCACAGATGAAGAAAACTGAGGCACAGAGTGGTAAAATACATGGTCATTTAGTTAGTCACTTATTCATTTAGTTAGTAAGTGGCAGTGCTAGGATTTGGAGCCTGTGACTCCAGAATTCTCATGCCTAACCAAGCAGGTGAAGCCAGTCATGCCAAGGCCTGCTAAGCTTAACACTCAGAGGTCTGAACCAGCTTCCAGAATGCTGGATTCAGGCTGGGTTTCTGGGGAGTAACAGGGCAGGATCAACGATCAGTCTCCAGAGGTGACACCCAAGGGAGATGCTGGAATCAACTGGGTGGGGCAACAAAAGGGTCAGTCCAAATGTCCAGGCTCTGAAGCAGAATCCAGGATAGACTATAAAAAAGCAACTAAGGATACTGGACCAGAGTCAAGGGGTTCTAAAGGTAAGGTTGGAGGCTGTTCCTGTAGTGATTTCCAAGCTGCTGAGGCTTCCCAGATACCTTTTTCAGGGCCCCTGAGCCTCCTTAGTGGGTATGAAAGATGCTATTTGAACCTGATTAGCACCAACTGGTGGAGAAGGCAATGGCAACCCACTCCAGTACTCTTGCCTGGAAAACCCCATGGACGGAGGAGCCTGGTAGGCTGCAGTCCATGGGGTCGCTAAGAGTCGGACACGACTGAGCGACTTCACTTTCACTTTTCACTTTCATGCACTGGAGAAGGAAATGGCCACACACTCCAGTGCTCTTGCCTGGAGAATCCCAGGGACGGGGGAGCCTGGTGGGCCACCGTCTCTGGGGTTGCACAGAGTCAGACACGACTGAAGTGACTTAGCAGCAGCAGCACCACCACCACCAAGTGGGCCACAGGTGTCTTGGGAATCTGCTACCCATTTTTCCTTCCTTTCCCTTCTCTCTATCTCTGACAGCACTGCGGGCATTCTTTACTGTCTGAGCCACAGAGCAGGACCACAACGAAGTTAGAAAAAGTCAGTTATTCTTCCCTGCCATCTCTGTGGGCAAGGACTCCAGGACAAAGTCAGTGGGACTCTTGATACTGTCAGGGACAGACAGAAAAGAAAGGAAGGAAATACGGCTTACTGGGGCTTCTCAGGTAGCACAGTGGTTAATAATCCTCCTGTCAATGCAGGGGACACAAAAGACACAGGTTTGATTCCTGGGTTGGGAAGATCCCCTGGAAAAGGAAATGGCAACCCACTCCAGTAATCCTCCCTGGAGAATTCCATGGACAGAGAAGCCTGACAGGCTACAATCCATGGGGTCACACAGAGTTGGCTAGAACTGAGCAACTAACACTTTCACTTTCTTTTCCAACCTAGTTGTGGCCTTGCTCTGGAACTAAGATTGGAGAGACTTTAGTTCATTTGATAAAAGCTGCTACAAATTCTAGAGTTCAGCTGCAGTTGCGCAGAGGAAAATGGGGGTGGGGGGATCTATAAGGAACATTTACTGAGTAGCCGGGGATTCCCAGGTGGCTCAGTGGTAAAGAATCCGTCTGCCAATACAGGAGATGCAGGAGACATGAGTTCAGTCCCTAGACTGAGAAGATCCCCTGGAGAAGCAAGTAGTAACCCACTCCAGTATTCTTGCCTGGAGAATCTCCTGGACAGAGGAGGCTGGCAGACTATAATCCGTGGAGTCACAAAGAGTCGGACATGACTGAACATGTGCACAAATAGTGAGTAGGTATTCAGTTGGCCAAAAGGTTCATTGAGTTTTTGCATAAAGTCTTATGGAAAATCACCAAATGAATCTTTTAGCCAATCCAATGCTATGTGCTAGACACTGTGTGCCACATGAATTCTCTCACAATTATTCTCTAAAGTATATCTCATTATTATTCCCATTTTCCAGATGAGGAAACTGAGATTTAGAAAGATTAAATAAGTAGTCCAGGATCACACAGCTGATAAGTGATAGAGTCAGGTCAAACACAGACAACCAAATTCTGAATTCTATATTCTTAATTACCACAATACGCTCACATGCTGGTCTTCATTTATCTGGCCAGAGATTACTGGTAACATGAATTTTTAGCCTCAGATTTTGGTGAAAGAAAGACACTTAGGTCCTTGATGAAGTTCTCAAATATCTGAATGCAAAAGAGTTTTCCTATAAAATTGAGATGCAATGTTTCTATCTCAAAGGGAGAAAAGTTACCCAAACTATGGTTGGATTCTGCTTGAGTTCAACTGAATATACATGTTTTGGTTTTATAGGAATCTGTTTGTTTTTTCCCAACCAAAAGACCTGTTTTAAGACTCTTGGTTGAAACTGAGCTTGAAGCAAAGTAGGCGCTGCATCAACGATGTAGATGGTACTCATATCAAAGACCCCTCCAAGGGATCCTTCCCTCACCTCCTCATCTCAAAAATCTCAGTTTAGAAAATAATTACTTGTGGTTTTAATTATTCAGAACTACTTTTCAAGTGCCTGGAAAACAAACTGGGCAGAAATTTCCATTCACCCCACAGGAAGCACTTTTGTTTGCTTTTACTTTTTTCACTTTTTCATTCCATGACTTAAGAGGGTTTTGATTTGTGTGTGCAGATGCCTAGCATGCGGGTGGGAATGGAAAGTCTGTTACATTAAAGGTGCCGTGTTTATTATTACTTGCCTTGCAGGCACTGGGGTTGGGGAGACTATGTGCTTGCTTGTTTGAAGTTCTGCAGGTGAATACCTTTCTTCTCCTTTGCTTGAAACTTATTGAAAGCAACAATCACAGGTGTAAGAGAGCCCACACACCAAGGCCAGTGAATCCAAACAGTGGGGCTGAAAAGGACCCCCAAAGTGTCTCTGCTTCCTTTGAACTTGGCTTGCTCATCTGAAATAGAAAAGCATTGGAAGAGAAGAGTTCTTCCTAGTCAAAATGATTTCTCCTGTGTCCCAGTTGTTGGGCGACACCGTCATGCAGTCAGCCGGGAACCTGCATGTCAGCCCTCTCTGCTCCACTATTTCACCAACGAGTCCTGTTATTCTACTTTCTTGCTTTCTTCCACGTTGTTTTTCTTCATCTCTTGTCTCCAGCATCTCTCTCTGGATTGTTCTGTCCCACTCTTGCCCAGTTTCAATCAGTCTCCACACTATACCCAGAGTAAGCCATCCTCATAGAATGTAAATCTGATACAGCTGCTTTCCTGACTCGCTCTCCCCTAGCCTCCTGCCAGCCTCAGATAAGGCCCAGCCTCCTTACAAGACTCTTCACAGCAGGGTTCCAGCGCAGCGCCATCTCTTGCCACATGTCTTCTTTCTTCTTCCTGCACTCAGGGCTTCAGCCACACTGAATGACATATCATTCTCCAAGTTCCCCAGCAAACTCTTCCTCCAACCACCAGGAGCCTCTTCTTGCCCCCCTTCCTTCGTCCCCACCCCAGCCTCCCTTCTTCTGCCAGAATCCTACCATACTTCAAGTCTGCACTTACATGTCCATCAGTTTATCAAAGAAGCCTTTCCTGACCCACTTACTCCGTGGTTAGAGTCCATTGGGTGGTTTTTCTGCATCTTCCTAAATTCCCTCTGTATCCCTCATCCCAGGACTCATTACACTAGTGCAGTGGCTTCCCTGCTGGGCTGTGAGCAGCATCAGAGCAAGGACTGAAGATGCACTGTCTTCAGCCATGTCCTCATGGTCTCACACAGTGCCTGGAGCTGACTAGATGCTCCATAACTATTTGTTGAATGAGTGAGTGTTTGAAGAATCCTCGACTTTTGAAGAAACTA